AGTCACTTTAGTAAGATGCAACCCCAGACTTCCAGGTCACCAAAGCCAACCTCAGAGAGCAATGAGATGGAATAATTTAAAAGCCACCCACCTGGACTCTCTGAAGTGGTAACAGCAGAAGTAACAAAGCAGATGAATAAGACTAGATAATATGAAATCAGACATAATCTCTTAGATAACTACGGAGATGGTGACCATAATGAAAGACCTGCTTAGTGACTTTAGAGAAGATAAAGATTTCTTTTAAAAAGGAGCTTAGGAAAATGATAGAAACCAGGAAAGAAATGGAATTCATGAAACAGATTCAAACAGACATTCAGGAGATTAGAGGGTTATTGAAAGTATGAGCAGTGGCTGGGGATTTAGCTCAGTGGCATAAGCACCTGCCTTGCAAGTGTGTGGTCATGAGTTCAATCCCCAGTACCGATAAAAAAGAAAAAGACAAAAAAAAAAAAAAAAAAAAGTATGAGCAGCAGAATGAGGCAATGTGTGAACATAATTTCAGATATAAAAGACAGAATTGCACTTAGCAATCACGAAAAAAAAGATTTCTTAAAAATAGCAAGGGGTCATGAAAAATCAATCCAACAGCTGCTAGATGATGCAAAGAAGAATAATGTAAGATTGACTGAGTTAATGAAAAAGGAGGAAATAGCACAAATAACATTTGGAAAACATAAAACCTGTCATGAATATAATGGCAGAAAACTTTCCAGGCAGGGAAAAATAATTTAACATACAGATAAGTGAGGTATATAAAAATTCAATTAGCCTGATAAAAAAATATACACCTAGACATATAATAGTCAAGATTCCAGAAATTCAACATAAGAACAGAATATTAAAAGCTGTTAGAGAAAAGAAACAAATCATGTATAAACCACTTTTCAACACAAATCCTGAGTCAAATAGAGCTCGTAGTGAAACATTTCAAGACCTAAAAGAAAAAAAAAAAACTCCCATCCTGATTGGTGTACCCTGCAAAAATATCTTTCAAAATTGGTGGAGAAATGAGATACTTCCATGACAAGGAATACCTAAGAAATTCATGACCACCAATCCAATACTCCAAAATGTTGTAAAGTGTATTCTAGAAAGAGATAACAAGAACTACATGAACCCCAACAGAATGAATCCACCAACCAAGGCAAGTAATTAAACAGAAGGGAGAAAAAAAGGACCAACAAAAGGAAAATAACATTAAAAGAATAAATCAATACATATAACCATCAATATAAATGGTCTCGATTGACCAATCAAAAGCAACAAACTGGTAGAATGGATCAAAAAGCAAGATCCAACAATATACTGAATATGAGAAACACATTTAATTTAAAAAGAAATTCATAGATTGGAAGGATGGAAAATAATACTCATGAACTAGGAAAAAAGCAAGGGTAGCTATTCTAAATGCAAAAATAAAAAATATATTTCAAGCCACAATTGTGATTAAGAGTGACAAAGACCACTACATCCTTGTAAAGGGAAAAACCCAAGAGGAAGAGATAGCAATTATATAAATTATATAAAACAAATATATAATAGCGATTAAAATCAAACAAATGCAATATTGTAATGGGGATCTCAATACTCCACTGTCAGATAGACGCAACAACTAGAAAAATCAACAAAAAATATTTGAACAAATGAACTTACTGGATGTCTACAGAGTGTTCCACCCCATAACATCAGAATACACATTTTTCTCAGCTACACACAACATGTTCTCCAAAATAGACAATATACTAGCTCATAGAACATGCTCAAGTAAATGCAAAGGAATTGAAATTATCCCGTGCATAGTATCTATAGCACAATGAAATTGGAAATCAATGGCAAAAGAAACCAGAAAAACTTCATAAACACATGGAAATTAAATAATACCCTCCTGAACAACCAGTGGGCACAGATGAAATTAAAGAGGGAATTAGACAGTTTCTATAATTAATAATGGCAATACAGCATGCTGAAATTTATCGGACATAATGAAAGCAGTTCTATGAGGGAAACCTATTTCTCATATGAGGAAAACAGAGATGTTCAAATAAACAAACTAATGTTGAACCTCAAGCTTCTAGAAAAAAGCATGTCAAGCCCAAAGTTCACATGAGGGAGGAAATTATAAAGATCAGAGCAAAACATTGCAATGGAGACTAAGAGAACACTACAAAGAATCAATGAATTGAAGAGAAATTAGGGAAATAACACTTTTACAACAGCATCCAAACAAATGAAATGCCTAGGAATCGGTCTAGCAGAAGGAGTAAAAGACCTTTACATTGAAAACTGGGGTCCTCTGACAATTTAGGAAAATTAAAAGATATCCCTTATTTTGGGGCAGGAAGAACCAATATAGTGGAAATGGCCATATTTACAAAATTGTTATACAGATGTAATGCAACCCTAACTTTTAAAAAACAGCAGTTTATCTCTCAGAGTTAGAGAAAACAATCCTAAATTAATGAGGAACCAGAAGAGACCTAAAATAGCAAAAGCAATTCTGGGCAACAAAAGCAGTGTGTGTGTGTGTGGGGGGGGGGGGGGGGAATCACAATCTCTGACTTGAAATTAAACTACAAAGCTACTGTGATAAAAACAGCATGGTACTGGCAAAAAAACAGACTTGAGGATAAATGGAGCAGATTAAAAGATACAGAAACAACTCCAAACACATTCAGCCATCTTATCCTTGACAAAGGAGCCAAATACCTTCATTGCAAGAAAGATAGTCTCTTTAATAAATGGTGCTGGGTAAACTGGTATTCTACATACTGAATATTAAAACTAGACCCACATCTTTCACCATGCACCAAACTAAAATATAATGGGTCAAAGATCTAAATATTAAAATAGAAACACAAAATCTTCTGGACAATAGAATCGATAGAGCTCTTAAAGACAATGATGTAGGCAAAGACTTTATGAACAAAACCCTGATTGCACAGGAACTATCACAAACAATAATTGGGATCTCATTTTATTAAAGAACTTTTGCACATCAAAAGAAATGACCAACAGAGTGAAAAGGCAGCCCACGAGGTGAGAAAAAATTTTTGCTCTCTGTTCCTTAGACAAAGAATATCTAGAATATGTAAGAACTCAAAAAAAAATTGGACTCCTCAAATTTAAAGACCCAGTCCTAAAATGAGCATCCGAAATACATAGACATTTTGTAAATGAAGAAGTAGAAATGGCAAATAAATACATGAAGAAATGTTCAAGATAACCAGTCATTTGAGAGAAGCAAATTAAAACAATGCTGAGATTCTTTCTTATCCCAGAAAAGATTGTTGTTATCAAGAAATCAACCAATAGGGCCAGGTACAGTGGCTCACGCCTGTAATCCCAGCACTCGGGAGGCTGAGGCAGGAGGATCTTTGCGAGTTCAAGATCAGCCTAGGCTACAAAGTGAGCTCAAGGCCAGCCTGAACTGCACAGCGAGACCCTGTCTCAAAAAGACAAAAAAAAAAAAAAATTAAGAAATCAACCAATAGCAAATGCTGGAGGGGCTGTAGGAAAAAAGGAACACTTCTTTACTGTTGATGAGTGTGCAGACTGGTGTAGTCACTATGGAAATCAGTGTAGAGATTCCTCAAAAACTAAAACTAGAGGTTCCATTCAACCCAGCTTTTCCCTTTGTAGGTATCAAGCATCATTCTACAGTGATATATGCACACTCATGTTAATGGTGTCATCAGTTGTGTCTTAGTTACTTAATGCTCGTCGCTGAGACAAAATACCTGATGCCCAAGTTGGGAAAGGAAAGGTTTATTTCTTACAGTTTTTGGAGGTTTCAATCCATGCTCAGTTGGCTCCCAGGCAGGCAGGCATGGCTGGGCTGCCTTTTATGGCGGCTGCAAACAGCAAACTCCAACCAGCAAAGAGCAGAGCAAGACACACCTTCTTCTTGCCATTACATCACATCCTGGCTCCACCCCTATGTGGGTGGAGCACTGACACTATCAATCCAAGCACTAGACAATGAATCACAAATACACAAATACACAATGCAAACTCATGAGGCCTGGGGGACACAGACATAAACCATGACAAGTTGTAATAACTAAATCTTGGGAACAGCTCAAATGCCATTAACCAAAGAATGGATAAAGAAGATGTGGAGTTTTTTTTTAATACAATGGAGTACTACTATGCCATAAAGGAGGATAAGCTTGAAACATTTCTAGCTAAATGGATGCACCTTGAAACCAAACTCTTGAGTGAAAATGAATTGGACACATAACATTGTTTCTGTGGTGTAAGAAACCAAAAGTATAAATAAGGACCAAAATGTATAATAGATTTTGGAAAATGGAAAGAATATTTTTAAATGAGAGGGGGAACGGGAGGGCAGAAACTAGAAAAAAATAGGAAGAAAAATGGAAACAAAGCTTTTTTAAATGAGGGGAAGAGGTAAAGAGGGGTAAGGGGAATGGGAAAAAAGAAGCAAGGTATATCATGTACAGGAATAAAATTTTTATGATGAAATTTATCATTATGTATATCTAAAGTATACCAAGAAAAAAATAATTGTTAAACTTTGAAATAATAACAGAAAATATCAAATTGCTTTATATTGTATTCATCGATACTAATGTCAATGATTAAATATAGATTACTCCTTAGGTCATGAAAAATGAATTATGTTATTCAACATAAAATATTAATATAGAAATGTTTCAAAAAGCAGAAGCAAAATAGTCAGTGGGCTTTTGAACATATTAGCATGTTATTTATTTATTTACTTGTATTTTTAAGACAAGGTTTCATGATGAGTTTAGGCTAGACTTGAACTAACTTTGTAGCCCAGGCTGGCCTCAAACTCATGGCGATCCTCCTAGCATGTTATTTTATAGACCTAAATTCTTACATTTTTTGTGATTACTTCAATTTATTTTAAAATACTAGAGTACAATTTTGTTTTTCCTAGTATTTACCCTAGAACTGGTATATAGTTACCATGTTCAGATTTTAAGACAGTAATCTCCTTTATCTTGTAGACTCTAGATAATCTGAAGGAAGGGAAACACCACCTTCGCGTACGACCTGCAGACATACCTGTTGCTGAGAGAGCATCTTTGAACTACTGGAGGACATGGAAATGTATCAGCAAACCCTCCGAGTTTCCAATAAAAAGCCCCGCCTTCACAGGTATAATCAGGGATAGGCTGACCCCTCTAAAGCCCATACCAGCTTCCCCCTCCTCATCCTAACAGAAGTGGCTTCCATCAGGAGATCACTTCATTACCAGACTAATTCTGGATGATGTCTCCATTTCTCTTTCATCTTCCTTGACCTAGGACCTTGTCACATACCTTCTCTATGGATACTTGCCCACTGCAACTCAGCATCCTCCCCTAGCCTCATTCTTCTGCATGCTGGTTTCACTTAGGAAAGGCTGGACTATATTCCACTCCCTCCTAGAAGCCAATGAACACCACTATCCTTTCAAATTACCTCCAACCATCACAGGACAAATGTCCTCAAATGATTACTGTCTGATGAGTACTTTACAGCATAGGTTGGTCTATATGAGACACCAGCACAAGACATTCATGATTATTGATGGATCTTGAGCTTCCAGGAAAGTTACAGCATCTAGTTCACAGTGATTTGTTTGATCAGGTAGGAAGAATTAAATAGATAAATGAATTTAATGACTTTGAGTACGTAAACCAAAATCTCACACATTCATTATCTTTGACTCTCTAAAGAAAAAAATTCTTTCAAACTCCATTCTACACTACATTCCTTCTGAACCTTAGGGCTACATCCAAAAGAGACAGTGGGTCATGTGAGTTGTCTCTGTAGCTTAATCAGTAAGAGCCCTGGCCACAGGGAGGTGATAACGTGTCCCGTATGTTCTCCTCCAGGCCTTCATGATAAGGCACCTTTGGGGCTCATGGACACACCACTGTTAGACACAGAAGAGGAAGTGCACTACTGCTTCCTGCCTCTAGACCTGGTAGCCAAGTATCCGAGCCTGGTGACTGAGGACAACCTGCTGTGGCTGGCTGAGACCATGGCCCTGATTGAGTGTGAATGCAGCGAATTCCGCTTTATTGGTGATGGTTCTGTCCAGGGGCGAGGGGTCGGGGGGTTGGGTGGGCAGGGGCGGGGACAGGCTGACAGGGTCAACTACCCTTCCCTACTGCACACCATACAGAGGCCCAGCTTGGCACTCAGTGCCTTAGGAGTTCCCTGGGCAGAGGTAGCACAAGCACAACAGTCTCCCAGAAGACAAGCACATTCTAGCATCAGACTCAGAGCTATTTTAGACCCTATTGTGATGACATGACTTTAAAGGGGCACTGAAACTTCCTGACATGGTGTCAGAGATCATAGAAATCGGTGTGAAAGGTAGAACACTGACTGAGCTGGACTCCAAAGTCACCTTCTCTTCTAATGCTGCCTTATTATCTCCAACTGGCCTCTAGAGGTCTCATAGAACAAGGAAATAGGATTGTTTCCAAGGACAGTCCTGCCTGCTCTCACTTCTGCTACACTCAGAATACAAGGCTGTTGATGGCTTTCCTCACAACAGCCTGACGTCCTCCAGGGTGTACTTTTGTCTTGCTTCTTTATCTTTTACTCAGCCCAAAGTTTCTCTGCAGAGCCAGTTTGTCCCTCCTTCTTCATTTACTTTTTCAGATAAACTTTGCTACTGTTGAAACAAAACAAAACCCAAAACACCACCACCAACAACAAAACAAAAAAAGCACAGCAGGAAGGAGCTGGCTGTGGTGGTATATACCTGTAATACCAATACTCAGAAGGCCGAGGCAGGAAGATTGCCATGAGTTTGAGGCTGGCCTATGCTACACAGTGAGACCCTGTTCCAAAAAACCAACCTCCCTAAAAACAGTAACAGCAACAAAAAGAATACAAGGAAAGAGGCTGGAGGTGACAAGTTCCCCCAAATCCTGTAAGATGGTCAGCCTAGCTAGTGACCTAAGGAAGCATGAGAGCTGTTCTCCACTGCCCCACAATGAGCTCTGCTGGAGATGTGCACTTCCCTAATCCCAAACTCCTGCCACCTAAATAGAAGAGGCAGAAAATACTCAGGTTGCATGAGGGCCCCAAATGCCTAGAACTCCAGCCATTCAGATCCAAAGTCAACTAGAAAGTTGTCTGTGACGGCTTCTAAATCTTAACAGGACATTAGTGTTGGCTCCATCTCTGTGTCCTACATTGAGCAGTCCAGGCAGGGACAAACTGCAAGTACCACCTGCCAGCCCCGTCTGGGCCAGGCCCCTCCTCTCTAGGCAGAAAGACAGCTTCTTTTTTGGAATGACTTGCTCTTGGGTCAAGACTCCACAGGGTAAAGCTCCAGGCCAGCAGGCTCACCAGAAGGGCCTGGCTTGAAAGTGCTAGGCCAGCATGTGGGAGGCTACACCTCTGGACTCAGTCTCAGGAAAACCAAGTAATTTGGAGTCTTTCACCTCAAAAACCACAGACTCAAAGCTAATATAATCAGATGTGGTTAGAAGTGGTTTCAGAACAAACAGAGAGACCCTAGGATAATGTCCAGCACCAAAAGCCTGCCAGAACCTGGACATGAGGTAAAATCAGAAGTAGCCTTGTTAACTCATGTTGTTTCCCTTTGTTTTTCAAGTGAATTTTCTTCGCTCACACAAGATTTTACTGCCGGATAATTTCTCCAACATAGATGTGTTAGAAGCAGAAGTGGAAATTTTGGAAATCCCCGAGCTCACAGAAGCCGTACGATTGTGCCGGATGAACATGGGTATGTCACCCAAGAACTTTGGCCTCCTTTGAATTCTAGGGCAGGCTGGGCTTGAGCTGGAGAGACCAACAGCAAACATCTTCCCTCCCACAACCACTCTGGGCTTTGGGTGTTGGTGAGAGAAGCAGGCTCTGGTTGGCTTAGAATCTGAGAAGAGGAATTGGGTCTGAAACCCTGGGTGCCTTCTCTGTCTGCAGCCAGGGCCACAGGGAATCCTTCCCCACCTGGGTCAGGCAAGACTGGCCTGGGTGGGGAAATGAAGCCAAGAATGTCCTTCCAGGATGGGGGGCTGGCCTGAGGCAAGCCTTCTGGGCCAGGATCCATCTGCCGTGCTTATAGAAGTCCTGGGCAGCTGGGGACTTGTGGCACCGACCCGCACCTCCCAACCTTCCTCTTCCAGGCACATCTGAAGAGTGTGGGAAATGCTCAGGCCAATCTCTCCTACCTGTGCTTCGGTGATCCCACCCACCCTGAATTTCCTTGTCTCCACACCATCGCCCCAGCCTCCACTTCTCACAGCCATTGGCTGTGATATCTGTTTCCCCCTCTATCTAACATTTCCTGTCCCCTGTTCAGGCTGGGCCTATGTCCTCCAGTCCTGCCTCATTCCAGCTGCTCTTCACCTCATGGTTTTGATTTGCCTTTCACATCCCACTTCTAACTTCTGCACATCATGGAAGCTGCTGTACATGTTTCAATGAGCTGATTACCTCAGGGGTCCTCGGCTGGCCTTTGAGAATGTATAGACTTTCCCAAGTAATAAAGCCCACCTCCAAGGAAAAAAGAAAAGAAAGAACATGTCAGATTGTCTCACATATGTATAGTTTGGTCTGGGAATCACTCAACATTTGTCCCATGGGAATGAGGTCTCAGATCCCGCCTCCTCCCAGGCAAATGGAATCCCAGCCCATGTAGGAGGATTGTACCCTGCAGCAGACCTCAGGAGCCTATCTCGGGGCCTTGAAATCCACTTAAAGAGGTGTGACACTGGCTCCCTCCCCTAGAGCTTCTGATCTCCAGGAACAGTGTTCATCTGTGAGGCTGGGACAATAGTCTCCGCTCCACAGGAACAACACAAAATGGAAGTGTCTTTGTAGACAGGCACTCCCTGAAGACAAAGCACAGTGTTAGCCTTTTTTAAACATCTTAACTAAAGCAGAGCCCCGCTAGCTCTGTAGAGGGATAGCTGACCCCAAATCCCTTCCCTGCTCTGTCTAGCTCTGCAATTACTTGTACTAAGTACCGTGCTCTAAACTGCAAAGCTGGGTAGAGGCAGCATACTTAATTAGACGCTTGGGGCATGGTTTATTCATCTGTGACACAAAGAGAGCACAAACTCTGTCATAGGATTGCCTGAGGATTGGTGATGATCCATGAAAATCTCCAGGAAGCTGGGCTGCTGCCACTATTGCCACTAAGAGAAGGTCTTGGGAACTCTGACAGCTTACACCCTGTGCCCACCTAAGATCCAGCAACCCAAATACCCAAACTGAAAGTAGCAACACACTGTGTGTGTCTGGGGCTAGAAACAGAGGCTGTGAATCGTGGAAGGGGCCCTCATCTGGTTCTGTGTCATGGTTGTCAGTCTTTACCCTTAGATACAGCAGAGAACTGACTGAGATTCCTGCAGAGGCAGTAGCAGGATGGCTACTGTAACTGAGATTTCTAAATTTCAGATGTTAATGATATAGCAAATGAATCCACTTGCCCCTGCCTTACCTTCCAACAAATAGCTTGTTGACTGAGTATACAAAAAAGTATACTGATGCTGAATAATTCAGATTTGGGCTGTGTAAGCAGATCATCTGCCTCTAAGCCACTTAATTGGGGCAGCAGGAAGAACTGTGACCCATGGCCTCCAATTCAGCTGTGATGGGGCGGGGGTCTTAGGACTCACACCTTTCTCCCCCATACAGGTGGTTGTTCCCGAACCTCCTGTCCTCCCCCAAGCCCTGGAAAGGGGGGACGTGCAGCTGGCCTAGAGTCTGTGAAGCCTCTGTACATGATGGCACTGGGTCTTCTGGTCAAGTATCCAGACTCTGCACTGGGACAGCTCCGCATTGAGAGCACACTGGATGGAAGCAGACTGTACATCACGGGGAATGGGGTTCTCTTCCAGCACGTCAAGTAAGGACCCCTTAGGGAGCTGTTTGGTTCCATCAGGCTGGGCTTTGCCCTTCTCTAGAAGCAACCTGAGACGTTTCCCATGAGCCAGAGGTAAAGCATCATTGAGGCCAACCTGTTATCTCATCCTCCATCACACCCAGGTTAGGGTCTAGGAGGCCAAGCCTGAGCTGAGGTACAAGGGTTCCCAAGGCATAAATGCTTCGTGCTGTTTCATATTTTTGTCCTATCTATTACCCTGTTCTGGATCTGAAATGAATAGGCCACAATCATACCCTCAGAGAGCTGGGTACCGTACTCCAAGCAGACTTCTCTGCAAAGGTCCTCTTCCCTCTTGGGACACTTACTGGACACACACAGAGGCCAGAGGCCTGAGTGAGTTCCTAAGAATCAAAGCAAGACAGGCCTCCCAAGGTAGCTGATACCTGCCTGTTGCCTTGAGGGATGAACTCAAAGTGTCCCCATTGGTACCGGGGAATGGATTCTAATCCTGCTTTATAGAAAAGTAAACTGAATTTCAGAACATTGACACACTTTTTCAGGGTTGCAAAATGTATTAGTACCAAAACTAAGGTTAGGAGTGGATTTTTCTGAGCCCCTTGTGACAGGATCAGCTGACCCTACACATTGTTTTACTCCAGTGTGTCAACTGGGGGCCTTGTTGGTCCATAATACTATCTGTCTCTCTCACATCTAAAGTCAACCCCTAGTACCACAGAGGCAAATACAAGTGCCTTTGGAGGGAGTATCAGAGTGTGAGAAAGGTGTTGGTATTCACTCTTTCTTGTACACAAAGGATGTTAATAATCTCTCAAGGCAATGGCAGGCTGCCACACCAGGACCTGGAGGTCTCAGGCAGATGGGGAAAGGAGTGGGTGGATTGTGGCCTGGTCTCTGAACCTGAGACAGGGTCCGGAAACTTGAAATGAGCCAATTTACTGGGCTTTGCTGAAATGGGCCAAGCCCAGCTGCACACCTTGTGAACTTGTGCCCAGGCTTACTCCCCTTCAAGGTATCAAAATTGCTGGTTAAATTGAGGAAATGATGTCACTGATACTGGGTTTGAGCTAGTGTTGTGGCATGATGTCCTAGGCACAGAAAGTTTACTGGCTGTATTCTTGGGGTACAGTGCTGAGGTCTTTGTAACAGGCTTTCTTCTGGGTAGGAACTGGCTGGGGACTTGCCGCCTGCCACTGACAGAGACCATTTCTGAAGTGTACGAGCTCTGTGCCTTCCTGGACAAGAGAGACATCACCTATGAGCCAATGAAAGTGGCTCTGAAAACTCATCTGGAGCCAAGGACTGTGTCACCCCCGGATGTGCTCAGTAAATGAGGAAGCTTCTGGGTTTGGATTTAGTACGGAGGTGGGTGGGTGTCTTAAGGACTGGAGAGGAAAGATGAAGCAGACTGAGGCCAAGGAAGTCAGACCAACATCTGTGGGCTCTATGTAAAGGAAATTTTAATGGTAAGGGCCCCCTCCTCACCTCTGAGCCCACAGTTCATCGCAGTAGTTCAGACAGGGTTGCTACCCAGGTGGGAACACCGAGAGTGAACATGCATGCTGTGCTCATGTTTCTCACCATAGGTGAGGAGGAGTGACCATGGCTCCGCTCAAAGATAAAACAGGCTCTGGGAAGAAACTTGCTCAAATTACACAGTGGTAACACTGGATCTTGAATCTAACTCCATGTGTTTGTACCTGTTAAGAGCATTTTAGCCAGGCATAGTGGCACTCACCTGTAATCCCAGCACTTAGGAGGCTGAAGCAGGAGGATCACCACAAGTTTGAAGCCAACGTCAGTTACATAGTGAATTCAAGGCCAGCCTGAACTACATAGGGAGACCCTATCTCAAAAAAAAAATCTAACAAGCTTCCTGGGTACAGTTTGAGCTGTATACTATCATTCAGCAACATTCAGCATTTACTGAGCACCCACCACTGGTCAGGACAGAGGCAGAAAAGTGTGCAGCATGGGCTCAGTCCCTGTCTACTTGGAGTCCATAGTGTAATTCTGTAACTCTTACATTGTGGTCATGCAATCCAGTTAGACACCCCTTGCTCATCACAAACCTCATTAGAAACTGGCTCTCAAACATGAGAACAAGGCCTAAATACAGTGTCCCCCTATAAAGCATCATGAGTTCATCTTCTCAGCATAGAGCCCTGGGACACACCTAAATACTTGGTCTCTATAAAAGTGACAGTGATTTGATGAGAGCTGGCTTTATAACACCTGCCAAACATAAGCACAAACATGCAGAGGGACACCAATTTGAGCAACCACATGAAAAGCTACACACCCAGGACTCAGCCAGAAGCCAGAGGCAGTGAGCAGTGCAGGTGCACAGGATCATAGGCCCAGCTTTCTCGAGGGAGGTGGGTTAGGCAAAGATGGAGCAGGCCATGGGGTTGGAATCCCAGAAGGTATCCCCTCCCCATCCAAAATCACCTCCTGACCCTCAAAGCTGTCATTCCAAGCCCCCCTTGCCCTCTCCTCAAGAACCTGTATTGTGAGCAGCACCAGGGAAGACTATCATTGGGAATTTCTGCTGTTTCTCAGAGTTGGCAACAGATTCTGTTGCCCAGAGTGGGTAACACAATGATGAAGATAGGGAGTCTTAACATACAAAGCAACACTGACCAAAATGTCCTACCTGATTTCTCTTCTGGCCTTATATGTTCTCTCTCATTGGTTTCTGTAGATGAGTGGACGGCGGAGATCACTGTGTATTCCCCCCAACAGATCATCAAGGTTTATGTTGGAAGTCACTGGTACGCAACCACCCTGCAGACCCTGTTGAAGGTACTGCTAGCCCCAGATGCCTTGTTACCACTTTGGCTTCCCCTCCTGAGTGCTCTGGAACTGGCGGGCTACCCACACACAGCCTCGGGCAGCTGCTTAAGACTTTTCCTCAACTCCACTGCACAGAATGAGCAGAAATTCTATGAGTAGATAAAAACTTGAGTGATCTGTAGGCAAATGGATGCACCTCGAGACTGTAATGTTAAATGAAATAAACACATAAACTTAAATATCGCACAGTTTCTCTGAGAGATCCAAATTATAAATAAAGAACAAAATAGAAGATAATAAGAAGAGGGAGATACATCTTTCTCAAATGGGAAGGTGAACAAGAGATGGAGGAGGGGAGGAAGGAGAAGGAAAGGGGATTAAAAAAGGAATTAAGAAATGCTGTATGCTGGGTGTGCTGGCGCACACTTGTAATCCCAGCACTCAGGAGGCTGAGGCAGAATTGTAGCAAGTTCTACACCAGCCTGGGCTACAAAGTAAACCTATGGCTAGCCTGAACTGCATAGTGAGACCCTGTCTTAAAAAAAAAAAAAGAGTGCTGTGTACAGGTATCAACTTCATACAAGCACTGTAACCATTATATGCTGCAAATATGTACTAAAAAATTCTATGAATGAATAGCATGCTAGGAAGACTTTGGATGTGTGGGCAGTCAGTTCTGAAGGGCCTTAAGCAAGGAAGAGATATGGTGGTTTCCAGATGCCTTTGGGGGCATTCAAAGACCAGCATAATAAAAAAAAAAAATGTGGGGCTGGAGATTTAGCTCAGCGGCATAAGCGCCTGCCTTGCAAGCAGGCAGTCGTGAGTTCGATCCCTGGTACCGATAAAAAGGAAAAAGACAGAAAAAAAAAAAAAAAAGACCAGCATAATCTGGCAGAGAATGGGGTACTCCTCCCCACTATGTTTCCCTGCAGCCAAAAAGAAAAAGAGATGAAAATTCTAAAGCCTCTGGTGTGGTTGGGAAAACAAAGTGAGAAATGCCTGACCTACCCCTCACTAAAGACCTAGCCCTGTGACTAATGATTCTGTTGTTCCTCAACCCCACCCCTTCCTGCCCAGTATCCAGAGCTTCTGTCAAACCCTCAGAGAGTGTACTGGATCACATATGGACAGACCCTGCTCATCCACGGGGATGGCCAAATGTTCCGACATATTCTCAACTTCCTGAGACTTGGAAAACTCTTTTTGCCATCTGAATTTAAGTAAGCAAAGCAAAGAAGTCACATGATGAAATTAGCCAGGGTGACTCTTTCTGCCATGGAGAAAATCCCAGTTTGCAGCCTTCAGGGAGGAGGTTCCATTATTTCCAACAGGGATAGTGTTGTTCAAGGCAGCTTCTCTGGCAACTTATGTGCCCCCGTATACTCCCACAGCAACTACTCAGCTGATGTCTCCTTGCCATTTGCAGGGAATGGCCTCTTTTCTGCCAGGAGGTGGAGGAATACCACATTCCATCCCTCTCAGAAGCCCTTGCACAATGTGAGGCATACAAGTAAGCAAAGTTTACTTGGGACTGTATGTTTAGAATTTGGGTTTGTATTTCTCTTGGAAATGCCAAGTCTTGCTTGCTAGTCAGACCTGTCTTCCTTGGGATTGAGGGAGTGAAATAAATTCAGGATTGGCCAATGGCCTAAGTAAAACCATTTAAAATCCCCATTTCCTCTGTCATTAACTCCCCACCAAAGGACAGACCTAACCAACTCACTGATGGGCTGACACAAGATTCCACACACTAAACAATTCCTCTTGCTTTCTGCAGAGCATGGATCCAGGAGAAAGAATCTGAAAATGAAGAAGCTTTTCCCATCGGGAAGCTACATGTAGTGACGGAAGGGCCAGGGTCACTGGTGGAGTTCAGTAGAGATGCTAAGGAAGTAAGCCCCAGTCTTCTTGAGTTGAGCTGTCTTCCAAGAATACCGCTCAAGTCTGGAGGTTGGAGGTGGGGCTGGGGTGTGGCGAAGTGGAAAAACTGGGCCTACACAGATTCCTACACAGATTCGTGATCTTGTTTCTGAACCTTGGAGGCAGGGGGGTGTGCTAGCCATTTGTGGCTTGAAATGCTGATAATCTTTTCGTTAAGTATAAGAACCCCCTAGATTAGCACCACCCCATCTCAGACCGAGCAGAGCTAAGGTGGATGACCTATGTCAGGGATGATTGTTCTGGGTGAGCAGGTAGAATTCTGAAGGCCCAGATTAGTAGGTCTTGGGTGAGACTTTGGTGACAGTCCACTTGCCCAGCTCTACCATGTCCTTCCCTCCTCAGACTGCAGCCTGCATGCCTGTGGACTTTCAAGACTGCAGTGACAAGACTTCATGGAACAAGACCAAGGGGAACCTGGCCAGATCTAGCCAATTAGAAGAGACTGAGCAGTACACCCGTACCATCCAGGTCTCCCTATGTCGAAATGCCAAGAGAGCAGAGAGTTCCAGCACATATTCACAGTGCTCGGGCTTGTGTGCCAACCCCAGACACTGGGGGAACCACTCTGAGAGCCCTCCCAAAAAGAAGTGTACCACAATCAACCTGACACCGAAATCTGAAACCAAAGACCCTCCTGTCACCCCTATGCAAAAACTCATCTCTCTGGTGAGGGAATGGGACATGGTTAATTGCAAACAGTGGGAATTTCAGCCACTGACAGCCCCCCGGAACAGCTCCTTGGAGGAGACTGCCCTACATCTCACCCCAGGAAATGAGGCTACTTCTGAGCCCAACACCTCAGCTGCCTGGAAAGGTCATTCCATAGCCTCAGAGAAGGATCCTGGTTCCCAGGCAGGGGCTGCAATGGCAGCACAAGACAAGGGGACAGAACCAACCTTTAAGTCGTATTTCCCTACAAAAAGAGCTGTGGCCCTGAAGGACTGGGGCAAGCAGAAGCCAAAAGAGAGAGGTGAGTCCTGTCTCATTCCTGACCTAAGTCTCTTTTACAACAGATAAGGCAAACTCCTTGGCTAAGCCAACAGCAAGTTAGTGACCAAGGGGACTAGAGCTCCCCACTCACTGATGCCAGCTCTGTGCTAGGCAGCAGAAACAGACACAACTGGTAGACTAACATAGCTTGTGAGGCCAAGAGACTCACACAGAGAGAAGTGGTGAGCATTTTGGGAAGGAGGAACATGAAGGGGCCAGGATCTGGGGAGTTCTCAGGGCAGATGGGGCTAGTCTAGGGTGTGTGTGGAAGGAAACATTAGTCTAGCTAAAAGCCTGGCTTCTCATGCAGAAGCCATGAAAATGAGGCTAAAGACATGAGTCCTCAGGCCGGGTCTTGTGGCATGAGTTCAGGATACTGTGCTCTGTTCTAACCCTGAGGCATGTGACAGCCCCTGAAGGATTTTCATCAAAGAACACAGGGTCAGATGTGTGTTTCAGAAACTTGCTCAGGGGCAGATGAAGTGCAGCAGCAGGACAGGGTGTGTCAGAGGCATGAGTTCAGCAGGGTGAGCAGTGAGCCTGGGTGGGGAGGGTACTGGGTGGGAGGAGCACATCGGGGAAGACAGCATGCATGCCATGTGAAATATTGAGGCACATCAGCTCTGTTGGCTGGGCTGAGGAGAATGGGGAGGGGGAGGCAGCCCAGGGAACTGTTCTGAGAACTGCCAATCCAAGCATCTTCCTCTGCTCCTTCAAAGGCCTTTCTACAGGACTCTCACCTTTCCTTGCCCTCTGTAGCTCAGGTCCTGTTTAGATGGGTCTTCTTAGACTCCACCTGTGAGCCTTAAATTGGTCTGTCAAGCTTTGGGGTTATAATCATTTACTCTCCCAGAGTGAATACACCTGAAAGTCTGGCTCCAAAAGATTCTTTTACTTTTATAATTTTATAAAGATTCCCAGTCTTCCATTGTTTGAATCCAGAGCCTTATGAATGTAGGCAAGTGCCCTTCCATTAAGCTACAGTCCCAGTTCTATTTTTTGAGACAAGGTCTCACAAATTGCCCGACCTGGGTTGGAACTTGTGATTGTCCTACATCAGCCTCCTGAGTAGCTGAGATTACAGGTGTATATCACCATGCCCTGTTGTCCTCTGGGTTTTGTTGGCCATATTTCAAACTAGTTGTAGTTCAACAGAGGAATTAGGAGAGTTCTTTGGAGTTCCAAAATTCAAGTTTTGGCTTGCAAAGATTCCAGGGAAATGAAGAATGCCCAGGGCCTGATGATAGCCACCATCCTGCCCAGCACAAAACGGGGTAGTCAGAAGCATGGACCAGAAACAGCACGAGACAGAAATGCATACAAAGTTGTTATTCCTTCCCTGGGCAAAGGCATTGTCATTGTTGAAATGCTGAAGCACACAGGCTTCCTCGTTTAACTATTCATGTTTAACTATTCACAAGGCTTCCTTGTTCACTTTTGAGAAACCAGAGGCCTTTGGAAGGTTGGAATGATAGAGGTCCCCTCCATGCTGAGATCCTGAGCCTGGGCTCTTAAGCATAAGGAGAGCACCCTCCCCTTGTTTCCACAGAAAGCCCTGCTCCTGAACAGCCTCTGCTTAATGCCAGTGAGATGGACAATCCAGGAGTCATCCTCAAAGTGACTCACCCTCCTGTGGTGGGTAGCGATGGCTCCTGCATGTTCTTTGAGGACAGCATCATCTACACCACACAGATGGACAACCTTAGACACACGTCATTGGCAGCTAGCCCCCAGCCCCGAGGTGAGACTCTGGAACTATGCCTGGCCTGGTACTTCATCGTGGAGATGCTGGAGCCCCCACCCACCATATTGCAGGGACAAAGAGTCTCCAAGGCTATGGGTATCTATGGCCATATCCACTCTCCCTTCTCCACAGAGGTGACTTTCCTGAGTTTCTCTCTGTCCTGGGAAGAGATGTTTTATGCACAGAAATGTCACCGCTTCCTGACTGACATCATCCTGGATTCTATCAGGCAAAAGGACCCCAAAACCATCACAGCCAAAGTGGTTTCACTGGCCAGTGGGCTATGGGTATGTGCAACAGGCCCCAGGCCCAGGGTTACCCCATACCTTCTCCACCTGACTCCCTGCCCTGCAGTAAGTGTTGTAAGATAAGAGGAAACAAGCTGAGATGGGGGTAGGGGGAAAAAGTCAGGCAGAAGAGTGGCAGAAAGGAGAGATGAGAAGGCAGGGAAGTTTCATCTGGACCAAGCATTGGCCAAGAGGTAGATTTGGAGTGCCCTGTAGCTCCCACAGGTCCAGGAAAGTCGTTGTTCTACACATCACTCTGAGGGACTGGGAGATGTTCACATCTTGCCTGACCATGAGTTCTCCTGGCAGACACTACACATCAGCCCCAAGCAGTTTGTGGTGGATTTGCTGGCTATCACAGGCTTCAAGGATGACCGACACACCCAGGAGCGCCTTTACAGCTGGGTGGAGGTGAGGCTCACCTGTACCCCTCGGAATGGCAAGCTCATGCATACCTCAGACGGACAGTCTTGCTGCATGAGGGCTAGTACAGCAATGTCCAGAAGGCTAAGAGGCAGGCAACCAGGCCACTGGCCCTGGTCCCAGGGAGGGAGAAATCATAGCTGAATTAATCAATGCAGAGTAGTCAAAAAGTAACATTCAGGCAACTGGTCTTTGTAGTTTTCCTCCGAAGATAACAACTGTGCCTTTATCCCTTAACTACTTTGGCCACACTTGAAGAAGCATGGTATGAATCCAAGGCTTGCATTTACAGGAGTCAGACCTTTTCTAGCAGTGTACTTCACCTCCTTAGCTATTATGTCACCATCTTTTCATATTTAAGCTTTGTAAAGCATTCTTTTGTAAAGAATTCATTTCTAAAGAAAAAATGTTCAACAATTTTTCTGATTTTCAGCATTGTGAGAAATACTTAGCTAATTTCTTATTAATCTGGCATTTCTGTAATCAAATGGCTTATTATAACAAAATTTACCATAAACAAACTAGTCCCCAATTACTAGCAGCCATCTGGCCTACTAGTATCTATTACTTATAAAGGTGAGGTCAGCGTCTATGATTGGAAAATGGAAAACCTTTTTTTCAGCATCTGGTCTTTCTACTCAGTTCCCTGGTAGCCACTTCTAGCCATAGCCCTGTGAGATGTCTTTGGGCAGAACTGAGCCCTAGCGTATCAAACATCACCAAGAACTGGGCTGTTCTGTCCCTATCCCCACCTGGATAGGACAACCCCACTCACATGGACCTAAAGTAGGCAACTGGCTATGAATTTAGGGCTAAAACAGATCTTTCCTTGCAGCTCACACTGCCTTTCGCCAGGAAATATGCCCGTTGTGTGGACCTGCTCATCCAGAGAGGCCTGTCCAGGTCTGTCTCTTATTCTGTCCTGGGCAAGTACTTACAAGAGGGATAGGGTTCCCAGAAACACTGCCTCATGCAAGTACCCGCTGGTAAAGATTCATTTTAACCAGGGAAATCCCCAGAATGCATGTATTCATCCAAGCATACAAATCAGTCTAGTTTTCTTTGTTTTTGTTTTATTATAAACAAATAAAACTGTAAATCATAACTCAAAGGCCTTAAACTCCTCTGAGATACTAAAGGTCTAACTATCAGTGAGATAATAGTAGACACTCCAACTGAAAGCTGTTCAATAGGCATTATGTCAAAATAATGACACTAGCCCAGAAAACAAAAGAAACTGCCTGGAGAGCCAGGATAGGCAAGGCCAAGGGCCCAGTGGGGTGGGTTGGTCCTAGGGGGAGTACACAGCATTCAAGCCAGGGATTGGGGAATAGCTGCTGAAACCCACCTACGTCTCCCTTGAGGACTAGGGGAAGCAATAACTTCCCAGAGCTATTTGGTACTTCACCAACCTACAGCAGAGAAATACTTGCTCTCTGTCCTGGCCTTTTCCTAATTTACAACTGGGGTGGAAGCTGGGGAGGTGACAGGAGAAGAAAACATGGAGCCAGGAACCTGGGTCAGAGCTTATTGAGGCTCTGCAGCCAGACTCTCATGCAGAGGCCCTGGGCCAGTTGGTCGATGGCTACGGAAATCCAAAAGAACAGGCAACCTGGCTGCACATGCAGGTGGTGAAATGAGGTGGCCCAAGTGCAAGCAATGCTCTGGTCATGCAGATCTAGCCAGGTGATAATGTTCCTTGGAGCTGCTGGATCCGCTGTTCAAGCCTCGGCTCAGACCTGTGGTGCCAGGCCAGGCATGAATACCTGATTTACCAGTTCGGGGTTCAGGGTACAGATGCCTCTGGGGAAAGGCTCCAGCCTGCCCACCACCGCTAGCCTCATTTAAAGGAAAGGAACCCTGGGCCCAGCCTGGGCTGGCCAGGAACTGATGAACATAAAGCAAAACATTACTCACATGGGACAAATCCTCCAGCCCTCTGTCTAGAACCTGCCCTGACACACAGCTGCTGTCAGAGCCACTGGAGCCACTGGCTGATGGGCACTGGGAAGAGACTTCTGAGTCCTCAGGAGCTAGAGGGAGGGAGACTGGGTGAGTTGTCAGCAGAGGAGGCCCAGACCCAAGGTGCCTCCTGCTTCTTGCCAAGCCCAGACGTACTCAAAGAGGGTTGGCTTCCCAGCTCCACCTCGGCCTCCAGCGTTGCTTCCCCTGGGAAGTTTGAGGGGTACAAGGGCCAGCGGAAACTCAGAAGAGCAGGGTCTCTGTATAGGTGCAGGTTGAGGGACCCCAGAACAGAGCAAGAGGCAGGGTCTCCAAGAATGGGGCTTGAGGCCCCCAAATAGGGGCTCTCATAATCAAGTGGGGCCACAGCAATGGAGGCCCGAGAGCGAACTTCTGCAAAAGAAAGAGACTCAGGTTGGGACAGGCCAGAGCTCAGTTTGGCCTGAGGTTCCCAAGGAACAGAGGCCCCAGGTCTCCCACATAGTGTTCCCCAGCCCCAACCCCAGTAGCCTTTCTGCTACCTCGGCACTTTAGGACATAGTTGATGCTGCGGTTGTTGATAGCTTCCTCGCTGGGGGCAATGTCCTGGAAGGCCTTGTTCCCCAAACCCATGGACACCATCTCAGCCATGCGTGCTTCTGAGTGGACAGTAGGTATAAGCAAGACCCCTCTGGGTGATATCTTATAAGTCCTTCCTATATATCCATATCCTATCTATTAACTATCCTTTGTACTGAGGCTTTCTGATGCCAGGTTCTTTCCTCATAGTCCCAAAGGGCAGGTATCATAAATTCCCTTTTAAAGATGAGTCCCCCCAAGATGAGGGATTTAGCTCAGCGGCACAAATGCTTGCCTAGCAAGCACAAGGTTGAGAGTTTGATCTCCGGTACAAAAAAAAAAAAAAAAGAGTCCCCTGATACTCAGAAGTTAATACTATGTCCAAAATCATAGAGAGTTATAGTAGGACTGCTAGACTTTAAAGTTCCTATGAACTGGCTGCTACTGCTGGACCGCCACCCTTTACCAAGCTTTTCCACATCCTGGATCCTCCCTGGGCTCCTAGGAGAGACATATTATTGGGAGTGAGGAGCAGGGGTGGAGTTATGTAGGGGGCAGGCACCCACCCTTGTTGTGAACAGCCTGCCTCCAAAGCAGGCGGGAGATGTCAGTTGTCCAGGCCTGCTTGATGTCCAAGCTAGAAGCCTGTAGCACAAAGGTGTCCCTGGCCTTGCGCCGGCGAAACCAGATCTCAAAGCGCAGTTTGCTATCTGCACAGCACTCAGTGAGGCCAAGGTCTGCCATCTGTGTGGCCAGAAAACAGGGTGAGGCATAAGCAGGTGCCAGTGGGAAGGGACAGTGTCAGATGAGCCTACCTTGAAGGAGCGCTTGTATGTAAATGTATCAACACCTGTAGACCCACGGCGAGGCTTGCTGAAGAGCAACAGCTCCTCAAAGAGGAAAACCCGGCGCAGGGACTTGTGGCGCCCAGCACGCACCATGAACTCATCCTGTCGCACCAGCTGCCCCTGCTCCTTGAGGTTAACCTGTGAAATTGGGATCTTGTGGGTTCCCGGCCCTCCTGCTCTCTTCTTCCACTCCCATAGCACCTGCCCACCATGACCTGGGTGACTCACATCACAGCCCTGGATGGCATCCATGGCAAGCAGATCATTGCCATGCCGCAACTGGAAGTGTACAAGGCTCTGGGCCGCCTGCAGGGCGTTCAGCTCTTGCACAGGACCCCCACAGGCCCGTGCCAGCTCCTGTAGCAGCAGTGCATACTTGCTCATGCGTTGGATGGGCTTTAGCAGGTAGGAGGCCAAGTCCAGCTGGTCTCCCAGTGCTTGCTGCTTGTCCTGTCAGGAGCAGGGAAGACTACTGAGTGATTTCAGGGGTGCTGCACCATCCCTACTTCTCCTGCAGTCTTGGGCTTTCCTACCTTGAAGAAGGCATGACCATAGCTAGTCATCAAGGCATCAGAACGAGGTTTATTCTTGCTGTAGAGTGCATACATCCCAAACTGCACCTTCTGCAAAGACACACAGCTCAAGATGTGAGGGACTCAACTCCCAAAGGCTGCTCCCTCTCCAGCCCAACCATTCTCTCAGCTTGAGAGGCCCAAAATGCCAGTTAAGTACCTTTCAGGGGATTCTTCCCAGATCCTGCTTTGAATGAAGGGTGATTAGCAAAAACAGGCATTATGCCCAGGACCTCTAGAGAGGACGTCCCCTCTCCCTCAGACTGGGCTTCTGTATTTGTTTCTGCTCCTCCCATGGCTCTGAGATCATCTCTTTGCCCTCAGAGTCTCGCTTGGTCTCCACTCTCAGCCACACTTACCTTGATTACCAGATTTCTCTCCTGCTGCAGGCTTTGCACTTAATTCTTTCTTGGAGTGGAGCTTTCTTACTCTGGCTCCTCCATGGGCCAATTCAAACATCTGCTGCTCAGAGACCATCTCTCACTGCTCAAAAGTGGGAACTCTGCCTGTTCTATAACCCATATGTATCCATCATGATTATTTTCCTCCTAGTCCTAACTATAATCTGGAATTATTTTTTTCTTTTGTAAGTCTTCTCTACTGAACTAAAAACATCCTGAGCTGCAGTGACCTTGTGGGTCTCGTCTCACTCATAGATGTACCCATCCCTGGGCCTGCCTGGTACCAATCATATGCCCAATAGCTCTTTGGACAAAGTGGCAAAATCAGCTAGGGCTATGTGAGGCTTACATGGCGCAGGAAGGCATAGGCCACTCGAGGTGGGTGTCGAGTGCAAGCCTCCAGCTCACGCAGGAAGAAATGGCAGTGGAAGTCCCGCAGCTTCTCCAAGTTGCCGAAGAGGTGGGCACGCTGGCCTCGGAGGCCCTGGGGTACATCGGGGCGATCCAGCTCAGGGAAGTAGTTCTCCATGGTATAGTCAAGGGCCCGGACATATTCTCGCTCTGTGGCCACCATCTCTGCCAGCACCAGCTGTAGCCTACCAGGTAAGTGGAGTCAGGACCCAAGTCATCTACCCTCTATTATCTTCCCTACTCTGCCCATTACCCGTACCTGTTGGGGCTTCTGAAATCAGAGGTGCTGGGTGGAGGCACAGTATTTGAGAATAACCTGGCATGGGGACCTCCTCCAGCCCCTGGTCCATGGCAGGCAGCAACAATGGTGGCATGGTGGTAGTGGCTGATGGGTTCTCTGAGACTCTGTCCCAGATTCTGATCAAAGCTGTAAGACTTCCTCAGGGGAGGGGTGGCAGGTGCAGCAGGGACTCGGCTGACGCACAGGGTAGCTGTGCTGCCTGGCAGTGCTGGCTTCAATGCAGCCTCTAGCTTCTGGTCCAGGGCCAGCCAGGTGTCCTGGCACTGTGCCCAGGCCCAGCGGCA